CCCCTTCGCCTTCCCGCCAGGGCCCTTCCCGGCCTGCTGCTTGGAGGCCCCCTTGCCCGCCTTGCCCTTGACCGAGCTCACCCCCGCGGGCTGGGCCCACGGCTTGAGGGCCCGCTTGAGGACGGGCACGGCGGCCTGCGCGACCTCCTCGGGCTCGTCGGCCTGCCCCTCGTCGTCGTCGGCGCCGACCTCCTCCCACTCGTCCTCGTCGCCCTGCCCGGCGCCCCCCACCGTGGCGACGGCCGGCCCGGGCTCCCCGGCCTCCACCTGCATGGCGTCGACGTCGTAGTACTTGCTGACGAAGTAGTCGCACTCCTGCTGGAGCCAGCCCAGGTCGAAGTAGCGCTGGGAGTCGGGCTCCGGCCAGAACTTCTGGTGGATCATAGAGATCATGTCGACCTTCAACGCCCTCTCCCTCAGCCTCGACTCGCACTCCGGCTGGTAGGTCTGGTTCGGCGACGCCCCGGAATGCTCCATCAAGTCCCTGACGCGCATCAGGTACAACATGATGTACAGCGAGTCCGGGAGCGGGTTCTCGGGATCCTCCTCCGGGATGGCGTCCGACGGGAAGAACTCGCACATGTCGCTGCACTGGTTGGCCCACGCCGAGGCGAGGAGGCCCTTGTCGAACCTGCTCTTGTCCTGGGAGTTCGTGTAGTTCACCTTGGACCAGAAGTCGAGGTGCATCTTCTTCGCCTGCGCCAAGACGCCCTCCGCCCCCCTCATCTGCACCAGCGGGTGGAAGTCCAACATGAGCAGCACCCTCTCGAAGATGTTCATCCCGCTCGTCAGCCTCGAGAAGCGCCAGACGGAGAGCGGCGGGTTGGACGACAGGAGGTTGACCACGGGGAACCGCACCGTGCCCGGCTTGTCCTTCTCGTGGGTGTATTACTTCACGTGGTTGGCCAAGAACTTCGCCACGCCCGACAGCTTGGTCTTCCCCTTCAAGAACTCGGTGAGGCGGTGATGGGACTTGCGGACGATCGTGAGATCGAACAAGACGGCCTCCTCGGGCGGCTGGAGGCCCGCGTCGCTCACCAGCCTGTTCCAGAGGTCCCCGTAGGCGCTGCTGTTCATCATCCCGAGGTTGGACAGGTGCACCTCCGCGCCGAGCTGGTCCGCTTCCGCCTCCGCGACCACGAGGCGCTGCAAGGCGTCCGTCTGGGACTGGCTGCTGAGGCACATCTCCGCCAGAAGTGCCGCGATGGAAGGGAACAACGGGCTGCTGGACCAGGAAGCGGGGGGGAAGCGGGAGGCCATGAAGTGGCACCTCGCGGGGCAGATGGCTTGAGCCACTGCTACTGCTACTGCTACTGCTACTGCTACTGCTACTGCTACTGCTACTGGTATTGCTACTACGACTGCTACTACTACTACTACTACTACTACTACTACTACTACCACTACTACTACTACTACTACTACTACTACTACTACTACTACCTTACTTACTTACTTACTTACTTACTTACTTACTTACGTGCTTACTTACTTATTTAATTACTTACTTACTTACTTACTTACTTACTTACTTACTTACTTACTTACTTACTTACTTACTTACTACTACTACTACTACTACTACTACTACTACTACTACTACTACTACTACGACTACTACTACTACTACTACTACTAGTACTACTACTACTACTACGACTACTACTACTACTACTACTACTACTACTACTACTACTACTACGACTACTACTACTACTACTACTACTACTACTACTACTACTACTACTACTACTACTACTACTACTACTACTACTACTACTACTACTACTACTACTACTACTACTACTACTACTACTACTACTACTACTACTACTACTACTACTACTACTACTACTACTACTACTACTACTACTACTACTACTACTACTACTACTACTACTACTACTACTACTACGACTACTACTACTACTACGACTACGACTACGACTACAACTGCACCGACTACGGAAGCTACTCTTACTACTACTGAAACTTCTACTACTACAATTACTACTACTACTACTACGACGACGACGACGACGACTACTACTACCACTACTACTACTGCTACGGCTACTATTACTACGACGAACGAGACAAACGACGACTACTACTAGTACTACTACAGCTACTTCTAGTGCTACTGCGACTGCAACTGCTACTGCGACTGCACCTGCAACTGCTACGACTACCACTACTACTACTACTACTACTACTACTACTACTACTACTACTACTACTACTACTACTACTAGTACTACTACGACCAGCTCTACTACTACTACTACTACTACTACTACTACTACTACTACTACTACTGCTGCTGCTGCTGCTGCTACTACTACTACTACGGCTACTACTACTACTACTACTACGACGACAACTACTACTAGGACTACTACTACTACTGCTACTACTACTACTACAACTACTACTACGACTGCTACTACTACTACTACTACTACGACGACGACGACGACGACGACGACGACGACGACGA